GTTGAAGAAGACGATCCTGTCCCTCCACCAAGCATCAAACAAGCACTTGATGCAGCGAAACTATTAAAAAAATACTTTTTATATAATCAAATTGATCCAGCAGTATCTCAAGATATGAGTAAGATACGTAACAAAATACAATTAAAATATTGGAGCAGCAAAAAACACATCAGACGAAGATAACAGGCTATACGCAATGTATGAATAATAATGTTCGTGTGCAAAGTGTGTACTGTATTGGTAAATGCATATTATTATGGAATAGTAAAATAATACCTTTTATATCTCTCCATTTAACGACCACTCTTTATAACGCCGAAAAATGTTCAGTCCCTTAAGTGTCGTTATATAGAGTTTACACTGTATTTGAAGTGAGATTTAGATTAATATGACGGAGTATTACCTTTTCCAACAAATTAATTTTTCTCAAGTTAGTTACAGATTAGATATTATTAATATGAGGAGCTTATGAAAAAAAGTCACTATAATATTAGAATTTGTGTCTCTTTGAAACTCTACAAATGTTTCGATGCCACCACATCATACACAGAAGATAATATTGAAACCATAAAGTAAAAGTAAATCTTTTATATGCAATTAATTTTAAACAATGTTTGAGTCCAAATCCGACCAACGTTATTGATGTTAATAACTGTTTATTGTTAATACATATATGTGAGATAAATTTCTATTAATCGTTTAATCTGTTCTATTCATCTCACACGTATTTGCAATTACGAAATTTCATGAAAAACCCCTTCCTCAAATCATGTTCGGAAAAATCGGTACAGTGGACGCACTTTAACGTGGCTCTAAAGCTGGGAAAGGAATTATAGCCACTAAGAATAAAGAAACACAAAAATGCTCTCTGTAGTAGTGTGCGGTTTTTATTGGAACCTAACGCTTAGGAATTACATTGAATGTGTTCGTTTAGATATGATCATGAAATGAAGAGATATTAGAAAGAATAGGAGAACAGAGGACTCTATGAAAGTCAATAAAAAATAGGCGAGATAGGCTGGTAGGACACCTTCTCAGGCAGAGACATATTAGAGGCAGAAACAGGAGTTGGGAGGGGTAGAGGTAGACCTAGATTAGATTACTGTTCGCAAATAGTTAAGGATGTGCGTTGTTCTAGTTTTGAGGAAATGCGAAGATTAGCTCGGGATAGGAAAGAGTGGAGGTACGTGTCCAAGGACTGACGACCTTATGATGATGAGATAACAATGTATGTTTGAGGTTTGAGCGCCACCTTTATCTTTTATTGGAGGATGGTACATGTTTTTTTTGAACCTCGATAAAAAATGTTTTTTTTTAACCTCGATGAGAATTTTCAAAAATATCCTGACCCCACCTAAAATTACATGTCGACCGCTAATCTAGGATATCAAACCCCAGTGTAGTTAAAAAAGTACTGAAGAGATTCTTTTAAAAATTTCGGACACGTGTAGTAATTTTATCGTAGCTAGCCATTGCCTTCTCGATTGCGACACAAACGGCTTGAGAGTCCGGTCTTTTTCTTTTTCGGCCGGTGCGTGAGCGTGAACTCCGGTTATTTGGCAATCGGACGCTCGACTGCATTTTTCGGATGCACTTGTAACGAGTAACGACGATGACGATGACGATGACGATGACGATAATGATGATGACCAACCGAATGCACCTTCTTACATGTAGCTACGCGTAAGTACATCTGTGTATGCGAGGGCACTTATATGTGTGTGAGTACGTACACGTGCGTGTACTCGCCCATATACTTATATCTGCATTTAAATACGTGTGTGAACCTCTTCAAATTCTTTAAGAACGGCTGAATTATCCTGAATATACAGTAATCATCAGAAAATGTTTTCCACAAAGTAAAATTGCATTTTCTTTTGACTTTAAGCAGGGTATCGGTCAGGGATATCGTAGCTCATCTATTTCCACACCATCTTCCTTCTCTAATATATCTCCTAACTCAGGGCATGCGTATAGGTTATCTAAATATTCTTTCCACCTATATGCCTTTTCCTCATTTTCTATCAAAATGACCCCTGCCTCGTTTCTTATATTATTACTGCTGTATCCCACATTTCTAAAATTCCTTTTAATTATATTATACGCCTCATCGGCTTTACCTACTTCAAATTTTTCTTCTACTTCTTTACACATCCTAACAATCCACTGTTCCTTAGCCGCCCTACACTTCCTAATTATTTACCACTTTACAGCCTTGTAACTTTTTTGCCGTTCTTCGTCTGTTCTGTTTTTGTATTTCCGCCTTTCTTCTATTAATCCTAAAATCTCATTTGTTATCCAGGCTTTCCTACTTTCGTTTCGTTTAAGGCCTAGTATATTTGTAGCTGCTGACTTTAGGCACGTTTTAATGCAGTTCCATTCTGTCTCTATATCCCTGTCATTCGTTTCTCCAGCCGCTTTTAGTATTTCATCTGTCCTAACCTATCACGCGTTTCGTTACATTTTAGCTTTTCTAAGTAAATACGTTTCCCACCTTCCCTCTTTGGCAGAATCTTATTACGATAAGATAATTCATTAAATTTTGCGCCGCTAAAATATTGCCGCCTTACGCTTGGGCCTCACGGATCTAAGGATAAATCCACTACTGGTCAGGATTTATCAACAGCAACTTCTCAGATTTGTTTTTCTTTTATTACACCTAATAATCGTACCCCCAAATAAAATCTGAAAGATAAATAAGACAGTTTCTAAAAAGTTTTAATTAGCAGATATCCGTCTTGTGACTTTAACAACTTAAAATGACAAATTTGAAAATATGAATGATAAAAATTTTCTTATTGTTGCATCCCTAAGCAAAAACAATGTCGCATCGAATGGAAGTGTGAATCTGATCAGAATTAGGAATGACGACCCCATGCTGATGATGGTGTGCGTAGATTTGTAGTTCTTGTTGTTTTTTTATGTGATTCATAGATATAGATAAGATCGGATCGGATTATTAAATTAATTTCGATACCTACACATGATATCGGTTATAATTTCACGTAGTGTGCAACATAATTGATAATTTCTGGTATCCGTTGAGATTCTTCACCTACCATAGTTTCGTACATGATAAAATTATTCCTATAATTTTGGCCCTTTTTTGAGTAAGCGAATCCTATAAGGGTTCCTCAATAATTAGGGTTCAATACCAATTTAGTACTTCTGCCGCGTATCCGTTCAAAATTTTATGGTGCTTACTGTACAAATAAGATGACCGGCCGTTCCTTTTTTTTTTACTTTTATTTTACACATACACACGCAGACCCAGGCAACGCACATGGCCGATAACTTGCATGTGCATAGCGAGTTGCGTGACGACATGGAGTGAATTTCGTGAGGTCATTCTGTGTCAAGTCCACATGAGCTTTCGGACTTGATGACCATTGATGTTGCAAGACCAATACCTATTATGTTTGTGTAATTCCTTTTTTAAGAATTTTTGACTGAATGGTATTAAAAGACAGTCGTTTATAACTCTCTTCGTTATTCAGGAACAAATAAAATAGAAATAGCTTAGAAATTTTATTATTTATAAGCTTTTACAATATAAGACAGATATCGGTGACGTTCGTTTCAATATCAGTTAAGTAAAAAAGCGTTAGCCAAAGCCAGGACTGGAGTACCTGTAGAAGGATGAGGAAAATTTCCTGCAGAACCAGCGATATCGATGTGAGTGAATTTGAGAGGTTTTGAATCGGCGGATCCATGTTTTTCTAGCCCTGAGGCCAATAACAAAAATCCGGCAGGCCCTGTAAAAAATATAATCCTGTTCTCATATTATTTATTACAATTCCTACATAAGTACACATGTATTAATTTGTACTTCAATCAATAGTTTCAATTTTTTTCACATCGAAATATTCCGATACAAAGTAAACACTCGCAATAAATATCATAACTGATCGGTGACTTTACCAGCTAGGAGATTTACCGAATCCGTATCCTGATACGATTAAATCAAGGACATTACTAATGTCTTTATTGTTCGCTTTATCATAATTTATTCGCTCAACATCTGACACAAACGGATTCATAAACTAAATGGACTTAAAGCGGGCGTGGCCGAGAGTTAATTGCGATGAGGAAACGATGCGAAGTTCTTGAAAACATAACGCGTTAAGCATGGAGGAATGCGACCATTTGTGTTACCCTAATTAAGATAACATATACTAGCCTATTGAATTAAAATGTCATACGGAAAACCTTCAGTCCTGAAATACTTATTCAATCAGTGTGAATTTTTCCAGATGATCTGCAATAATATATTATGAACCAAGTGTAAAAGGAGGTATGTGTGTTCATACGTTCAGTACGAGTTATAAGACTATGATGACCATGATTATTTTAATATTTATATGAATACATATTTCGGTCTTGCTTTTAGTCTTATTTAAATACTCTTGGTCTTATTCGAAACCTGTTAAAACTTATAGTTTGATCTTGTTTTTGGTTGTCTTAAAAATTTAAAACGTGCGTTTTCTTTCGTATAAACACTTATGCAAACTTCAAAAGGCAGATGTATCATCTAAATTCAAGAAATACTAGAAGATACCACAAACGGCGCGGTAAACGCCATCTGTACTACGATGCTACATTTTAAGATTACGTATGCTCCAACAAGGTCCATTTGTATGGATATCTACTTGCTGAAACGAATCCCGGCGTAGCCAACCTCAACGTGATAGGCACGTTACCATAATCGCTTATGGTAACGTGCCTATCACGTTGGAGCATACGTAATCTTAAAATGTAGCATCGTACTACAGATGGCGTTTACCGCGCCATTTGTGGTATTTTCTAAAACGCGCTGTTAAGACAGCAGGTAAAAATTGGTCTGTAATGTAGCATCGTACTACAGATGGCGTTTACCGCGCCATTTGTGGTATTTTCTAAAACGCGCTGTTAAGACAGCAGGTAAAAATTGGTCTGTGTTCTGTCGGATCTGCCTGCGCTGTGCTGATGAAATCCAAAAAAATCGAAATCGCGATCCGCGTCTGACAGTTTCGCCAGAATACAAACCACTTCGAATTATTTTATTCAAGTACTGTATGAAATGTATCAACGTGGTTTCTTTGACTTATTAAACAAAACAAAGTTTATATAAACATTTTGCCTGTGTGATTTTGCTGTTGTATTCTCATAAAAGAAACTAATGCAACCAACAATATAATACAAATAGATTTCCCTGAAAAATGTTCTGGAATAGAATGTTACATGGTAATATCAATTGGTCAATTGATTGATACGGTTAGAAAATATTTTTTGATGATATTCAGCACTATACTTGTTGGTCAGATTAATATAATAGTTTTAGTTCAGGAAATCATACATAAATAAATGCGAAAATAACAACAAAACAAACGGGAATTACCTTGATGTCCTCTGGAAGTTCTTGCAGATGATGCTAGCTGTCTGCTTTGAACAATATCTTCTTCGTCCGATCTTCCTTTAGGGAATAACAATTCGTCCCTGCGGAAAATGGAAACTTCGAAGGGATCTCCTATTTCTTCACCCGCGTTTTGTAATTTATAGGCTGTGCCAGCTTTTCTTGCTGGGCCATTGTCAATAACTAGAAACGATAATAAATTTTGTTTTAACTACTTAATCAATGAAAATCCATAATAAGTGAAAAACTAGAAGATATCATAATACATTTATTCGGACGCATGTTAAGAAGTTTCTTCAAACACTGCCTTCATTAGACACAAAAATATCTTTTAGCATTGACATGTTTTCAACTCCGATTTTATCACAAAAGCATGCTTTTTTAGGATTCATAATGTATCCGAAGACAACATAGAGAAGATGGGTTTTGACCGATACACGAATGTGTTTTCATTTGTGAAAAATTTGGCGATATTATACCATACTGCATGTCCTTTTAAGCAAATTTAAGGTACTACTATTGGAGGAAAAAAAATATTAGAACGAATACATTTTCAACCCTCAAAAAGGCATGCTGTATTAAATTATATTAGAAATACAGAATAACCACTTCCATTAATGTTTCATGTCTTCGTTCTGGCGTTCAAAATCAAATGTTATCTTTACCAATGCCCCAAACCACTTTAAGCCGCGCTCAAAAAGTCGTTTAAAAGTCTTGGTTGGCGGATTTTCAATAAGAGAAATCTGCAGGGTGATAAAGCGTATTACGAAGTTATCGTTAGTCAAAATATATCAATAATCGACAGAAAATGTAACAATTCACCATACTGATGTATTCTTGTTCACGAGAAAAAGTAAACAAAATAACTATATAACAAATAATTTAGTATAGTAATCAATAAATATTTTGTTATACTTATTAAATTGTTATTGCTGGT